GTGAAATATATTTATGTTTGTGGTTGTAATGTGACAAAATATGGAAAAGTTCAAGGGGTATGAATACTTTTGCAAACCACTGTATATATATAAAAAATCCAAAGGTTGTCAACCTCCATGTTGTAACCACTTGGGACGTCCTGACATCACATGGAGCTGGTTCTGGCATGTATGCACAGAAAGTCCTAAAACAAAGAGGAAACTACAAAACCGGAAGAAAGAGATATTCAACTGACCCTGTCTTCATTGAATGCAAAGATTTGGGCTCATTTTGTTTTTTACTGAATGAGTCTGAGTTTGACATGAGCTTCACTGTGTGCAAAATTTGCAAAATGAAGATGAAGCACTTTAGAAACACGACAAATGGGCTCACATTGAGTTTTGAATGAAAAAAATAGATTTTGAATCGAATCGCGACCCCAAAAATCTGAATCGAATCAAATCGTGAGACAGTAAAAGATTCCCACCCCTATCAGAAATGCAGTGTGACTGCTTTATGCTGAAATATTTGAAAAAAAATTAGCAGGAAAAAACTCCAATTGGTTAAAACGTGATTTAAAAACACAAAGAAAAACTGCTGAAACTAGAAGAAATCAGATGAAAGAAGCGTAAAAAGTTGAAATGAGCAGAAATAAGTACAAAATTTTGCAGTTAAACAACAGCAGAAAAGGTCAAAATGATACCTAAAAAAGCTAAAATTGTCAAAATACAAGCTGAAGAAAGCTGATATTAGCTTAAATGAGTTTAAAAAGCAGAACCAGAACAAAAGGTAAAATGTACAATAAAGTTTTATGAACATTTTGAGGGTTTCAAGGATGATGATTTATTTCCAATGAGGAAAAAAAAGATTGAATTAGCTAAATATCTCAAAAAGTATTAGTACCAAACGTCATAGCCTGAACGTCCTGAAAGAGCTGGACGTTTTAAGACAGTTTAGTTTGCATTAAAACAAACATTATAATTAATTATTTCAAGCAAAATCAGAAGGAGCCACAGTAATTGTTACCTATGGAAATATCCACATTTAAGAAGCACACTTTCACCTCAGTCTTATGAAGTGACTTACTTTCTCTGGCAGTAATCACATTTGCAGCAAACAGCCATTTTCCATTTTCCATCCGGGCCGCAGCCCCGAGGCTTTCGTCTTCGTACACAACAGCAAAATATATCGAGCCATTTCCTGAGAGAAGATCAAATAACAGAGATGAGCCCCTTAGATATTTCATGGGATGGGCTTTTTAGGACAAGTGGAGCAAGTGATGCAGGGTAACAAGCAAACGAACACCTGGACAAAGAACAGGGACCGAGCCCTGCACAGACTCAGCATCTTCTCAAATGTAGATGAATAGAGTTTTGGCTCTGATTTCAGATGGTCGGCCTCGTGAATTTTAAAAAGCTCTCAGCATTGAATGAAACACCTAACTTTACCTAAACCCTTCGAAGCTCATTTAAAGTAGATTTGATGCAAAAGACCAACCAAAATATAATTGTATGTATTTATTTTTGTAAAACTATAACAGAACTCTGTAAAGCATCTTGGGGCATTTTAAAACAAATTGTGAACAAGACATGGTGTTAATAATTTAAATTATATTGTATAAACAAATGAAAACTATTTTAACTTGGTAACTTCTTCTAACTTTATCCCAGCATCCTCTTCTGTCACACCAACATTACGTCCGTGAACCTTCACTGTCTCCTCCTCCTCTGATATTAGGACTGGTTGATATTGGCAAAAAAAATGTGACTAACTGTGGCATTTTGCTGATAATGATAATGACAACTGCTCTTGCGAGTTTTTGATTTCAAATCAGTTCTGTGTTTAAATCATCAGTCAAACTAACGTCTTCATTTTAACGTGTTAAAATTGTAAGCTGTGAATTGAAGCCCTCCCTTTCCACAATGTTTAGTGCAGCAGATCTTTAATAACGCAGGCAAAAATATGTCATAACGTTGCACTAATTGCAAAGTGTCATGTATTAATTGTTGACCGTTTGTCTGATGATTAACTGCACACGATACGATTTTTCCAAACTCTCAATAAAAATCGTAACATCGTCATCTCTGCCACCTCCTGTCTTTCCAACAACTTCAAACCATACATCACAGCAGGGACTTCCACCATCCTGGAAAACGTCCCTTTCACCGCAGAAGTTTTCCTGCTTTTGACACACCTGACCTGAATGAATGATTGACAGGTTTCTGCAGAACCAACAAGAGAGCAGGGATACATCTAAAAACATGCAACACCACTGCTCAAGAGTTATTTTGTAAATTTCAAAGAAAAAAACCCACTTTATCACTTAGATACTCTTTAGTCTTTCATGTAGTTTCTTATGACTCAAGTTATGTTGAAGTAACACGTTCACTCTGGTTTTCTGTTTCAGGGAGTATGAACACCTGTCAATCATATATCATGACATTAACTAACGGTACAATCATTTTCAAACACCTCACTATAGACGTGTTGCAAAAACCATACAGCTTTACACAACTCGGATGATCCAAATGTCCAAAAAGAAAAGAGTTAAAACTGCAATATAACTCATCAACTATAAAGTCCTAAAGGGGAAAACGTGTCTAGACTTTCAGCATCAAAACTACTTCAGCGAAGCCATTTATCAGTAAACCAGAAACCTACAGCCATGTACCAAAGCAAACACTTCTGGCTGATCTGGCTCTCACCAGCTGTTAATCAGCTGTCTAAAACTCCCCTTCATGACTCTTGTTTCTGATTGGTCTACTTGTGGAGGCACGCCAAATGTGTGAGACGACCAGAAGTAGGACAAATAAAACATCGGACAAGTTGTCTGTTTGCCACAACAGTGACTTCTTTGAGATTACGTAATGCGTGTTTACTATTTGAAACTTGATAAGGCGATGGCATAAAAGTTGGATTTCATTTCCCCAAACATTTCCTCTACGTCAACTGTGCGATAACGACGGTATATTCAGACAAATAAAAATTTGTTTTTCTCTTTCACCAGCTGTCACATTTGTTAGATTTGGCCAGCTGCACAAAGCACACAGAAACACACTCTGGTAAATCAAGGTCAGTGTTCTGTGTGGTTCGCATCTAACCAACTACATAAAACCAAAGACATGAAAATCCTGCTCTGACCCCATGGGGCAGACGAAGTGTGCGATGTCAGGATGACACACTTGTCTGTCAAATCTGCCGCCGCACCGTAAAAACACTGGTAAAAAATAAATAAATGAAACCCACACACTTGTTCTGTATGCAAACATAAACGTCCACAAAAAGGGAGCGAACTCATTGGATCAAAGCTCTTGTTAATGACTGACAAGGAAAAAGACTGATTAAAAAGAAAAAAAAACAAGATTGTTCTGGTTCTGATGAAAGATAAACTGCCATCAGAGTCCAGACGAGTCTGATGGGGAAAACATGAGCAGAGATACACTGGAATTTATTGTTTTAAACAGTTATTTCAGTAATCCTAGTAGAAATACTGAACACATCGGTTTTCATTTACCTTTTTTTGGGGGGCTATAATAAAAATTTGTATATGTTTATATAGGCAGTTTAACTACTTTTTAAAATGCTTTACTTCCAAAATCCTACATACTTGACAACTGTCTGTGTGAAAGGACACTCAAAGACATAAATTCAACCCAAAATAAACATGAAAACTTCTAATAATGTAAAAGAAAAAATTGTATAGGTCCTCTGGACGGGTTCTTCTTTAATGAAACGTTTCGCCTCTTCTCCAAGAGACTTCTTCAGTCTGAGAGTTTCAGGCAAAATTCAGGCTTTTAAGCCCAGCCTCCCTGTGACTGATACTCACATCACATGGCTATCATTGACACCTAATTAACACTTATTGTTAACAGGGAGTGGAGTGATATTGGCAATGGCCGCGCTGTGTTAAAACACCTGGGTTAAAATTAAAGCCCAGGAAGTCCAACATTTCACTGATCACATCATCTCGGTGGTTGAATATATTAAGTTCACATGAGAGGATGTAAAAAATGGCAGGTTGGCGTTCCTGGATTGCGATGTCTCAGTTTCGGATGGAGGACGGTTGGAAACTGGCGTATATCGTAAGCCCACCCACACAGACCAATATTTGTGTTTTGACTCCCACCACCCACTGGAACACAAGTTAGGAGTGATCAGGACTCTGTACCACAGAGCAGACAGTGTCCCTACAAACCCAGGAGCCAGGCAGA